CACATCTGGTCCTCTCATTTCCTAGAGGAAAGATTTCATATAACGTGTCTGAAGTCTTCTGGAAAACTGTAAGTCTTATGTAGAGGCCAGAAGAAGGATTAATCCAGGAAATCAGGTCTTGAAAATCCACTTCAAGATTGTCTCATACCCCTTTTGGGAGTAAGTGGGACAATTTCACAGCTGTTACTACCTACACTGGCAGTAAATTTGCCCTTGTGCTTTAGCAAGACAGATGTAGCAGAAAGCCTGTTTAAACCCATCCCTTTAAAGATATTAGTCCTGTTAAAACAGGGCTCCTTTCCCTTGTGCCAAGGATAGAAAACAGCACTATGACATTAACATGAAGCAAGACTGCGTAAGTGAAGTGATCACAACGATAAGCAGGACGGTGTTTCGCAGAGGAAGCTGGATGGGTTACGGTAGCTAATTAGACTGTTTGGCAGATGCTGAACCCTATCTATTCTCACCCAGGCTCCACCCAGCAGGAAAGTCTCTTTTACAGTTTTCTTTTGAAATTCTCCTTTGCGGTACCTTTGTAACAGGAGTCCGCTGTTCCCCATCAGAATTCAGCAGCGTAATTCCTTCTCCTAGGCGAGAGGTTTGAGTCGTCAGCTCCTGCAACAAGAAGGGCCAACGTTACCCCTGGAAAAACCATCCTGTCTCTGAAAAGCAATCCTCATTGGGAATTGGGAACGGCAGAGCAGCAGTGAAGGGGAGCCCACAGCCAGTGCTAGCAACAGAGCCTTGGCAGGTACAGGTGCTTGCCGCTGTGCCCAGTGCCACCGCCTGTGCTGTGCTGGTCCCAGCAAGCCTGGGCAGAGGAGCAGCAGCCAGGTAAGGTCCGCCCTTTGCATGACACATAGGGAGGGAAGGCAGCTCCTGGCCCTGGCTGTTAAAGGAACAGCAAACGTGTCTCCTGTAAACACGCCCTGTCATTAATCTTTCACTTTGAAACACATCTCCATGCTATTTAATACTTATTCTAAGGTTGCATATGTAACTTCTCTAAAATTAAGAAAACCCTTGAATATACAAAATGCTCCCCTTGTAACTAAACTCTTACTCCGCAAGTAGTTTTCACCTCCTTCCTATGGTTTGCTATAATTTTTTAAATTTCAGTAATGAGCTCTTGAAGCACTGATTTCTTCATCCTGCGCAGAATCAGTTATAGTCAATGGTAGGTCAAGAACGTAGTACTGTCTTTGCACCGTGTGCAGCATAACCAGCTGAGATCCCAGATGCCTTGCTTTGCTCTGCACCCTTCTTACCTGACACAAAATGCCACCTCGCTCCATTGTGGTCGCTGTCACATACACGTCCAGTGTTATCTGTGGCAATGCAATTTCACATCTTCCAGCTTCCACAGACGCCAATAGTTTAAATGCCTCATATGCAGGTGAGCAACTGTTTTATAAACTGACTCAGAGCCCCACCTCTGCCTGATTTCTTAAACCCAGCTATTCCCCTCCCATTTTCTTATGCTAGGAAGCTGAATCCTGTAGTTGAATAAGTAGGAAAAAATACCTTTGCCTGTACAGTAGGTGGAAGTATGCTGTTTGAGTCACTTTGCCCAATACTGGCCAATGGCAGGTTTATAACTAATGGTAAGAGAAGGATGCCCTTTCATCTCAGCACTGAACTTTCCACTTAGCAACACCTCAAAGCCTACAGAAATACATACTCCGCAATAAGAGGTAGCAACAGTACACTAATCGGATTTAGGTGATCTGTGACAGTAAGCAGATAGATAGGATAAATCAGCTAAAGGAAAAAAAAAGAGGGACAACACCATTGCTTTCAAACTAAACTTGGTTTTGCAAAAGCCAGTTGAAGGCTTCCTGTACCACATCCCTGCAATCACAGGTCTAGGTGTGCAGAGCAGAGGCAGGCATATGGTGGTTTATATCTACCCAGCCTTGGTTCAACAGGGCTGGCTCTCTCCTCAAGTTGTTGTATTCTTTCCCCCTTCCTTCCTACAGCTCGTTATTACTATTTTCGTTTAGACGAAGAGTCCTGAAGCAATGACTTTTCTTAGCTTAGCTCCACCCCCTGTCAATAGTTCTGCATCACTATCCAGCTCAGACTAAGTGGCTGTAATCTAGCTGCATTTAAGCACCCGTGTCTGACCCAATGAACCCTGCCAGCCAGAGGCAAAACTCGGCATCGACCGCACGCCGCCCTCGGCACCCTCCTCGGCACACCCGCCAAGCCACCGCCGCGGCAGGACTCCTGCGCCTGCTCCACTGAGCACCCCAGCTGACCCCACGCCATCAAAACAGCATGGCTCCCAGCTCACCGGAACAGGGTAAAACAGGGCAGCCAAAGAATGTTGTATCTTCAGCAGGTCATAACAGATCAAAATCTCTGGGGGAAGGGAATCCTTTGGCTTCCCTGCTCTCCCAGTACATTGTCTTTGAGCAAAAAGTTACCCGTTCCCTGAGCATTCTTGAGCTTACTGGTGAAATGTTGCTAGCAGCCAGCACAGTTCCCATTTGCACATTAACATGCAAAATATCAACAGTCACCATGGTCAGCTTGGTAGAATAAATTTTTGCCATAGGTTATGTTATTTCACAACACTGTGACGGGTTGTGTCTACATACACAGCGTGTTTCCTCCGTGTGCCAGCTGCAATGATGTAATTTGATGAAATGCAGTTTTCATCACGTCACAGAAAACCCTTGGCAACATCAGCATCGTTCAGTCAGAGTTAAAGGCACTGCTTTATTACGACATCTCCTTGGAGGGCTAAGCTATGAACCAGACTGTCCACCAGGTCTAGGGCTCCGAGACTGTCGCTCCCACAGTGCCAGTGGCCAAAAAGCTCTCGTTTTCATGAGTAATGTTTGCAATCCACATCAGAGACAGCCCTTGCGGGAGGGAGGGACTGTGGCTTGCTTTATACCCCTGCAATCTGTCTCTGAGACATTCCTTTATCCACAATGCTTACAGCAAATATTTGGTATGCTCTTAAGCTCTTTGCAGAGATAACAACGGTTTTGTTTTCCTGGAACAAGGAACACACGGTGAACCTGGAGCATATTACTGTAATGGCTGAATATGTGGAGCAAGGAAGAATTTCCTTTTTGCGAACAAGCCTTTATTGTCCAGTATTGTATATACGAACCATTTGCATGTAAATAACATTTCTTCAGAGCTGGAGGTGGCATGAGTTTATGGCCAAAAACTCTATTTTTTCACATGAGGGATTTCAGGTTCAACTGGAGGCAATCCCCAGGGTTATATGCAGAACACACAGCACTGTAGTTCTGATTCTGACTGGTGAAACTAATACAGAACAAAAAACCCAGCAGAAGTGCATATTTGTTCAAAACCTAAATGTTAATATTTATGCTGTGATCTTTAGGCTTGCAACATTAGACTACAGTTGCACAAAAAAAAAATTAAGATTTGGTTTGACATCATAAATGACTAAAGTGTTAGCAAAAGTCATTGCGAACCAATTTGTGAAGATAATTTGTCATTGTTTCTTGCCAAAATGAAAATCCTCAGAGTGTCATTTTGCACCAAGCCAAACATGTTATCTGACTGTAAATGAAAGCTGTTATTTTCAGGTTGGGTTCCCTGGGCTGATGAGGTAGACAATCTATTAAAAAGAAGCTACGTTTCAAACCAGAAATGTTTTCTAAAATATTAACATGAAATGTTTCAACTTACCCAAGTATTTTCCCTGTTTTATTTTAGCCCCAGATTATGACATCTAGTTGATATTACAGTTCACCCTCAGCACTTTCAACAATTCAGAAAAGACACTTTCCATTAGAAGGAAAATGAAGAAAGCTTAGAAATGCAAACCTATAACAAATATTATCGGTGGTTTTGTGCTAGATCCCATGAAAGGTCTGTTCAGATTACTTTAAGATGGTCTAAATTTTCCCAGTTGTCATTAGGACACAAAACTTATTAATAATAATAATAAAAGTCTTTTCAATTTGACTTGCTCCTGGAATACAGAGGTTGTTACGGATTTATAATTTTACAAATAAGCATTTTTGTTGATGAGCAGAAGTCCTAAACTGTTTAAACAAATTGCGTTAAGTAAAACAACAAAGTTTTTGTTGTCTAGTGGAAGTAAAATATTTTCATTTCAAGCACTTTTCCTTTTTAATTCAAGAAAGGAAGTTTAATATGAGAAGTCAACTGGGAAAAAAAATTCCAGGGTGTTTTATTCTGAAAGCTTCAAAATAAAATGCTGACTTTTTTATATACTGTCTCAACACAAAACAATCAAAACTGACATAAATTCACAGGAAATTTTGATGCACTGAAATTACACCTTTCACTTTAAAAACATTTTTACGTGAAAAATGTTACGCCGTTTCCTCCTAAGTTGCTCCTTCCCATCTACGTGTGATTCATTCACAGCCCAAGAGAGCCCAGGAGGTGGATGCAATTCATGGGACTGGCTGTGTGCACACACTTGTCCCTCTGACATTTCCAACCTCTGCAGCTGCTCCTCAGGACACTTGCAAAACAGAGTTGACGCAGGGATCCAATGCCAGCTTCCAGTCGTGTCTCAGATTTTCTTAATTTTCTGGGGTTGGATGCATCTTGTGTTCCACAAAGAAAAACTGTGGGGAGCAGAAGTTTATATCCCCTTCTTGAGGCCTGTAGGTGTCTTGGTTGGGTTGTATTACTGTAGTGTGGTGGTAGAAAATGATTTTCCTGTATGTCATACATTGTAAATAGTTAGGCTTAAAATAACACTATTTTTAAAATTTAACAAGGATTTTTGGTAAAGAGTGTTCTACAGACAACCTTAATTTAGAGAACAAAGCATTTGTAAAAATTTCCCCAGCAATGTCTTTGCCTATAGAGGCCACTTCTTGGGAATGGAAAAAAACCCGACAAACCACTGAGCCACCCGGGTTAGTTTCTTTCTGTAGTGAAGAACGACCAGTATTCAAAAAGCTATGTCCCTTCTGTGTCCTAGAGCATGAAAAACTCCGCTGAGAAGGTAGGCGCAGTTGGACAGGTGATTAGCACATGTTTTGCCTTCTCCTTTGCATTGCTATCTCTAGGGCCTGCATAATCATCTGTGAGTTGTTCAGGATGTTGTATTCACTGAGGTTGAGCAACCGGCGGTAATTCTCATCAGTATACCTGACCGAGAACATGCAGTAGGGGGAAAAGCGACTGGTCAAATCAAGTTGTCCTTCTTCCATCTCTGAGCAACAGCGCTTGACACCTGGAGAGAAAGAGAAGTTGCTACTGTGACATGGTGTTTATCTCAATCAGTGACAAGCTGCCCAAAGAGGGGGACTTTTCTCCAGAAAGGAATTTGTGTGGTTTAAATGCATGAATACCACAGGTCATGTATCCCTGACCCTAGTCAAGAGAACGTCATGTGTCTGAAGTGATGAGGGAAGGAGGGACAAGTGAGAGAGAGCATTGTAATGGTCATCTACGGCTTACTCATAAACGTTTGTCTCATTAAAGCCATGGATCAGTCAAGGATATCAGCCTGAAAGGGCACTCCAACAGCCACATCTGGTGCCCTGCAGGTCTTACCCTGAACAGTTGGGACCTCTATAAACCCTGGCTTGAGGGAGGTGTGCTGCTAGTAACAGAATAGAATTTAAATGGGAGAGGACTAATAGAAACATATGGAAACTTAAAGTTCCTGCAATCCCAAATGCAGTCTCGGGGGCCTGCCACCAGGATCCATCTCTGCCTTTCCATTTCTTGTGTCTCCCAAATTCCACAAAAGCAGAATTTTAGACTTTACCTTGCTACTACCAAAGAGCAATGGAAATGCATCCTAGTAACTGGCAGTAAAGGAGAAGAATGCAAACCAAATGGTCTGGCAGAAAAAGCATGATGGGCCTTGAGCACAGCTCAGCGAGCAAAATGACGCCTGGGCTGATGCTGTACCAAAAGCAGACACACTGATCTTGACATTGTAGGAGTTCAGCCTGAAAGCCAGGTTCTTGTTCCCTCACCATTCATACATGACACTATGCCTCCTCAAGCGTAGAATGAAATCCCTGGACAACAGACAATATATTCAAGGGAAAATAGTCTGAGTGCTATACTTTTCCCAGGAAAAAACTTTTACAATTAGCTAGCAACACTTTATGTTACAAATGGGAGAGAGATGAAGGTAAACACTCTGCAGAAGACAAGGGCTGTGTCTGTCCTCTTAGGGCCATAAGGATGACGTGAATGAACATATCTTTGGCAGGGATGGGGAAAACAAGTTTAATTAGCTAAGTGCTCCCCCATGAACCTAGCCAGCAAAGAGAGCCAGCAGCAGAGAAAAAGGCTCGTGTGAGTCAGGGAAGCAGGGAGTGGTGTCTTTTGCTTAGTGCTTTGCTGCTGCTTGTAACTTACCAGGTGCTTTGTACTCTCGGAAGGTATCATTCACAAGGGGAAGAAAAATCACGATCGGACATCCTGGCAAATCTGAATCTTCGAAGAGGTAGCACTCCTTCAGATTTTTCTTATCTTCATCAGTCAAGGAAATTTTGGGGAATGGGATTTTCTGCTCTGTGTAGTATTTGTACGCCTTATCTAGAGTCTGGAGTATCACAGAAATGGTCAGCGTTGGAATTCAACTTGGTTGTCTTAAAGCTCCCAAATTGTTATCTAGCATTAAGGTTTAGTGACTCAGATCCATAGGATAAGTTCTTTCTTATCAAGGGTTACTCTACACATAATTACCACACATAATAACCAGAATGCTGTAAACACAATTCCAGACCTAGAGAATTTATCCAGGACACTGTATTTTAAAAAATAGAAGCAATTTGCAGAAGTTTAGGGTAAAGCATGTAATTTTAGTAAATGAAAGAACCTATGTTTAATATATTGTATAGAATTAATTAGAAAAGAAAACCACAGCAAGAAAATGTTCAAGGGATCTTATTACATGCTTGGAAGCCAGGAGATAAGAAAGTTAATTTTGAATGTGCAATTATGTCTCTACCTGTGCAGGCACTATGGCACAGTGTTAACTGAGATTGATATTTTACTGAGAAAATCTGAAGTACTAGGCTATACTGTACCTTTTCCCTGAAATGTTTAATACAATATCTTGTTGTACTATGTACTGCGTTATTTACTCTGCACCATCTAATAGTGGACACTGTCAAATAGGAAATGGTTTCTACTAAAGCGCTTAAAATTGCAGCAACTTTTCTTCATAAAATTAATCTAGACAATGTATGAGGCTGCAATGAAACTTCATTACATGTATGTCTCATGCATCATACGGCTTATTAACAGTAGCACAGCTGTTCTCTTTCACAAAAAATAATTCCACTTAAGTGGGCCAAGATACTTAATAGTGAGTTTCTAACTAACCTCAGTTTCTGAGACATAAAGACCCAAACTTCTTTTCCACAAGGCCTTATAGACAGCTAATTAACTTGATCTCCATGAAACTGGAGTTTCTGCAGGAAGATGCTTATCATTGAATTTTCCTAGCAGCAACTTATTTGTCTGCCTAGAAATGATCTGCCTCTGACTATCCGCCTAATCCCTTTTATATTCTAACTTAGGTCAGGAGAAATTGCTTCCTCATCTTTGTGCATATCACTGTGCAGGGTCTGGAAATCTGCTTGATTCAGCATAAAGCAGAAGAGGCTTTTCCTATCATTCTGGAAGAGACCGTGCTGATGTCCTCTTGAATAATTCAACGCATTCATAAACCAGCAAGAGAGATTCCAGCAGTGGCAGGAAAAAATAGGAACAATATTAATCACTACAGTAAAAAATATAGGGGAATGCAGTAGTTAAAAACTGAACAAGTGACATAACTAGCAGTTCTAGGTGCTACAGGCTAGACATTTACAAGCAAAAGGAGAGACAACACACGGTAACAAGATTCTCCTCACCGATGTATGTGAGCCAGTAGTATAACTTAAATATATGATGACATCCACTTCCCTCTGTGGCCTTAAAAGTGGTGGACTGCTGGTATTGATGAAAAATCCAGCATCTATCATGCCCAGGTGATCGGGATTTTGCATCAGCTGGTTGGGACATGAGTCTAATACAGTGTCTAAAAGGAAAATATTTCTTGGAATAAGAAATGATCTGTAGGTATTTTGACTGGAAAAAAGAAATGCAAAGTGGAATTGACCATCCCAGAGGCCTAGTTTAATTTAATTGCCACACTACTGGATTGTCAAATAGGTGTGAGAGGGACTGCAAAATGCCACCTAAGTTCCTGTCCCGAAAAATCTTCTGTGTTGAGATTCCAGGCAATATATTCTAGTAACTTGTCATACTCATTAGTGGCAGGAAGCTACTTCTAATACTTAATCTAAATCTGCCTTGCTTCATTTCAATTATTGTTTCATCTTTTATCTATCATTGATTTGGAGAACAAAATATTCCCATTGCTTTTTACATTCAGATTTATGCCTCCCCCTCAGTCCCCTTTTCTTTTGATTACAAAGCCCCATTCCTTTCCAGGTTTCTCTTGTAGGTCATATTTTCTGGGATATTCCAGAAGTTAGAGGCACAGTCTTGCCAAATTAAGCCTTCTCTTTGCTACTTCAAATTCGGTTCTGCCTGCTGCAAGCCTACTCTCTCGATCTGGACCACAGAAATTTCTGCTAAAGCACATAAACACATGTTTACATTTTAAAACAGTCTTAAATACCTGGCAACACTGAAGTATTAGTATCTTCTCTCCATTCAGAAAAGAAATGTTCTTTCAGGAGATTTTTTTTCCCCTGCCAAGCCTGACAGGGTGCTTTCCTAAATTCCCCACCCCAAAACCCCCTGAAAATGATGCCTGTTAAATATTAGTCCCCATTACCTTTCCATCGATGGAAGTGCTCGTTCTCCAGGTAGTTGTTATGCAGCTGGTAGCCCTTCAGGAAATTGTGGTGCTGGGCAACGGAGAAGCGGTCGGTCAGTGCTCCCCGAAGGGTGCTGGAGAGGTGGCCAGGAGGAGTGTACATGCGAGTCCTCAGTTCGTGGGGTCTTGTAGGCAACACCGGGTCTTCATCTAGAGGAAGGGAGAAAAATTGGTGAACTCTTTGTTAATTGATGTTCATTTCTGGTTGTCCTGGTGTGTAGGAGATCTCAGGGTTTGTTCTGGGATGATTTGCTAAACACACAAACACTATTCTGAAGGAGAGGAGTGGCTGCTGGACAAAGCTCTGCTGGTGGTTTTAAGCTTTGGCCTACTCAACAGCAGCAGTCTTTAGTCCTGGAAAACGGACACTTTAAGGGAACTAAGCAATTCTGAGAATATCCTGTCAGAAAGAAAGTTACGTATCCTTACAGGAAGATATCATGAAACAGAGGCAAGCATGGAGAAAATGAGGCTAAAGCATATGCTCCTAACTCAGTCAGATGGGCAACAACAGGGCACCACAACGGCTATTACAACACTGACAGCTTCTGCCTGATAATCACCCATGGCCACATGAGCTTATGCTTATTCAGTAGGATGACAGCATCCCAGGAAAACTCAGGGCATACCTTCGTATTTAGAAACTAGAAGTAGTTTTCAGGGTGACTACATAGCAGCATATGCAGGGGAAAAGAAGAAATGGCACAAGGTGTGGTTTCTTGAAATCACAACCTGCTTTGCCAGACCAAGTGGCTGGTGGTGCAGCAGGAGAGACTTGGTGGTTTCCTTGATTGCATAGATGTATTTCTTTATTTTCGGGATGCCTGTAATTATAGTTACTGTCATATTAAATGATTTAGCAATAAAACCATGGTTTCTGTATTGCTTCAGAAAACACCCTCTGGGCCTCATTTATCTTTGTGCCAGGATAAATCCAATGTAGTAATTACTGTACTGAGTAATAAAATAAAAACACAGGACATATTGATTAACCAATTGATATTCAGGTTTATTCTCTGCACAGGCAGAAAAAATAACTTTTGTTTTCTGCTGCTGGTTCTTGGTTCCATATGGCTGAGCGAGAATGGGCAATGCCAAAACACTTCCTGAGAAATGTGTGATCCCTCTAATACTTCCTTTTAAGGACAGAGCCTTTTAATCAGTAGGATGTTAGTAAGTCTGGTAATTACAGCAGCATTTCACTGATTACCCTCTTCCTCTTAATCTTTACAGTGGGAGGAAAAGTTGCTATCTCTTAGGAGGATCCTATGATGCTGGCTTCAACACAGTTGACAAGATGATACCAAAAGGCATCCAGAAGACTAAGTGACCATAAATGAAAAGCTTAATAATTTCTCACCAACTTCTTCTATTCTGTCTTGTGTCCATCTCTTCCAGAAGTCTTCTGAACTGTGGGACAGTCCCCATATTTGTAATAGATTCACAGAAAATATACTGCTCCACATACCTGTAAAAGGAATTAGTGAACACAAGGACACATTCTAACAAGAAACTGCCTTTTCCCTTCTATTTTGACCTCCTGGATTAGTTTTTAAATAGGCTTAATTCAAATATTTCTAAACTTTTGGGCTGTTAAGTTCCTCTTAACCTTCTATAGCATTGGTTCAGGTCATGCTGCCGTCAGTTCTGCGCCTAACCTACCGCATGGCTCTGCCGTGTGGTAAAGAGAGAGAATGGGAGAGAACTAAAGGAGAAAAAAACACTTGCTCAAGAAGCAAAGTAAGAGTTCAGATGACACAGACATTACAAAAACATCCTTTCCATCCCTGTCTTCCTTATTCCAGCTTCCTTTTTTCTGCACACACTCTGGTCAGCTTTCAGGCACCCTGAATTGCTTCACAGCGGGATGAACTGGCTCTTCAGCTATTTGGTTTGTAAGAGAAGATCTCACATCCCAGCATGTAAAGGCTTACAGACTCCACTGTGGAGCTTCTGCTCCAGTGTGCACTCTTTTCTCCATCCAGGATTGCCTCTCTCTGCCTCCCCACAGGGGGACTGGTGGCTTTGTTGACAAAACACAAAGCCACCGTTTCATCTGCTGTTGTAAATTTAAATGTGTTCTAATTAGTCTGACACAATTGGACTTCTCAATTTTCAGTGGGGCACAGAAATCAGTACAGCAAACCCAGTATGTAGAAAATGGATTTCCCAGTATTGGGCCAGGTAAAAAGGGTCAGCCCAAGAGGTAGCATTTAAAAGATACTCCTTGGGATTACGGACTATTTAATATCACTGCATGTTTACTGAAACCAATGAGCTTCTAAGCAGCAGGAGTGTAAGAAGAGATGGCTGAAACAGAACTCGCACTGCTCTGTGTTCATCTGCCAGTGAATCCGAGTCCTTGGTAAAGAGATATTATTACTTTTACGCACAACCCATCAGTGCAAGTCAGGGACTGACCAGAGAGATTCAGAGACCCTTGACTTCTGGTCTCATTTTTCATCCTGGGTAGTCTGCATTTTAGTAGATGGGATTCTATACATGGCGTTGAAGTTAAACCTCGCAGTGGAAGCACAGCTGCAGGTTTCCTGCTGTCTCAAAATTTTCTTCAGTTGGAGTGTATTCAGATAGGAATTGGAAGAATAACCAAAGAAGTGGGAACTATTCCTTACAATGCAAGAATGAAGGAGCTTTATCTATTCCATCTATAAGACACAATGTTAAAAATATTGTGCATACCAAGACAGTGACATGAAACTGAAAAAAATATGTGGGATTTTTTACTGTATTCTTTTGGACGAACTACTACACACCCCCATTTCCCACCAGGTGATATCATAGCAAGGTTCAGTATGTTAGATCAGAAATATCCACCCTCTGCTTAATGGTGTTGCACCCCTCCAAAGTGCCTCTGTGCCAGGACAACACAATACATCACCTTGAAGGTAGCAGATCCGGGATTCGGGGAGCTTTTTTAACAAGCGTCCCATGAAGAACTCACTTCCAAAATGTTCTGTGCGAACGAACACGCCGTATTTCAGAAGTCCCACCTCGTAGGGGGTGAACTCCACCCACTCTGCAATACGGACAGAAGGGGACACTTAGAAGGCTCTCAACCGGGTGTGGAGAGAGGGCCGGCTAGGGCATACATCGGTCTGACTTCTGTTTGCTATGCTGCTTTTGCAAAGCCTTGCTTACAAATGACGGCCTGCAGAGCAAGGGACGGTGACGACGGGGAGGCAGGAGCAGTTACACTGCTCATGGTGGTGCTGCCGGTGGCACGAGGCGCACGTCAGGAGCACGGCAAGGCTCCAGCTCTTACACACCCCGTGTGCATGCACCAGTCCAGGGCTCTCCAGCACGCACGAGGTTTCGCTCTGCCCTTGCATACACCACATCTAAGTGACAGTACTTCCACTGTTATCAGTACAGTTAATTTAACTTCCCTTGAATAATTTGGTTATGTACAAAGACAGGTATTTGGCTCTTCAGAAATGATTTTTTTGTAAGAGGCCAATTATGCTCTTTATGTGTGGTACTAAGGGAGACAGAACTAGTCCTTGACTTTCTCTGATATCCTCTCCAAGTAAAGTGCAGTTGTCTGATATAACTGCAGTGTGAGCAAAGACTGGGACAGAAAGGTCATGGACCATAATTCCCTTTTCGTTCAGAAGTGGTTCATTTTTTCACCTCAACCATAAAAAATTCATCTAAATTTCTTCTCCGCCTCTTCTCCTCCTCCAGCTGCTTCTCCTCATGGAAAAAAATTAACCAAAACAATGAGCAAAGCAAAAGATTCAGTTGGGAGTAAGTTGGATGCTTTCCCAAACTTTATCATAACTATGTAGTCTTTCTTCATATTGAAGCTATAACTGGGCATTGACAAAATGCAGCATTTAATTCTCAGAACATTCCCATGCTTCTTATTCAAGGTGGGTCAGCTAATATTTCAAAAATGGCCTTTCTGGCAGGATTTCGAGTGTATATGTCTAGACACTGAAACGCTGATCTCAAAAAGCCTTTGTATTAAAATTGTAAGGCATGGAGGTAATGGTTATATTTCCTAAAAGCAACTAACACACCAGGACTGTTTTCTCCAAGTGCTACCAAGCAGAGAAGAGCAAATCACAGGAATTCAGTTGCCAGTTTTAGCCCCACAGGATCTGAAACATATCCCTACCTTTGAAATCATTAGTGCTGTAGCCATCCCGGACGCTGACCGACACATAGATGGGCAGTGGGTTCTGGCCGTCACACAGTGCTTCTCTCTGCTCCGAAAGTTTCTGGGGGTCTTTCTGTTTTTGAAGAAAAACAGTTATGTGAGAAGAGATGGAAATGGTACATGGTCAATTCGACGGCCCAAGTGCTGGAGGAGCTGGGGTGGTTTGGCCCCTGCACGCAAGACCTGCCATGGCAGCTTGCAGTCCAGCCTTACACGTGAACTTGAATTTAGCAGCAAATTATTTGCATCCCGCCCAGCTTCTTTTCTGGAAAAGCATATTCTCATTAAAGAGGTTTGTAAAAAACATAAAATCTAATGACCTGCTGACAAATTTAAGAGCAGCTAGTTCTGGCATATAAGGGAGAGGTTAATGGTTACACAGCTAATTGTTATACAGCAATAGCCAACACTGCTCAAGGGAAAAGATGCTTGGCTAGAGGGGGACCTCATCTAGCTGAGATTAAAAGAGAGGCAGCTACTCAGCTTATACCTTTGCTTAATATGTAGTATTCCTCTCTATATATGTAAACAGAAAATAAATACATAATACTATATATGCACTTATATAAAAATAAATAAATAACCCTAATGAATGGCTTAATGACTGCAGCATTTCTGTCCCCACTGGAGGACACTTCTGTTCAATCCTCAACCACTCATCCCTTCCCACTTCCTGAGTGCCAAAGCACACATCCTTGAACTGTGGTCCAACTGGACAGAAGAGGGAGTGGACTGCTGTGCTGTATGGGTAGAAAGCACTTCAAATAATAGAAAAGCAAATTTGTTATTGCTTGTAAAAATTGATATCATTTAAACTTAAACTACTGTCTGAGCAGTCCTCAGCAAAAGTAAAATATGCACCTGCCTCCAGTGTACCTGCAGATCAAGTTATCTGCCAGTGGATGCAAATCACCAAGCACTCTGGCTGTTTCATGCTTGCTTCAGATAGTTTTCACACTGCTGAGATTACTCTGCTTTGCATCTTGAACTCTTATTGCATGCGTAATCTGCATTTTAGGCAGATCGCCTGAGATTGTCTCCACTTCTATTTAAATACCAGCCAGAGTTCAAATGGCTGCATCCACAACCTAATTTATTAGCATGTAGGATACATTTCTCCCTAGGCAAACTATTAAAGGAAATAAAATAATCTGAGAGTTTGTTGACACAGACAACTCTACTCTGTTTTGAGGTACGTTCTCTGAAATGATGGGCTAGTTTCCTCTCCATTCACTAAGAGAAAAACACAATATACATTATACCCCATCATTTAGTAAGTACTCAATCATGAGCCCCCAAAGATCTATAAATGATGTCCTGTATCCCTCTTCTTTCCGCTGACAAAGCTGCTTGTTGTAGTACTTCATGCGATCCATAGAGAAACAGCCCATCTTGCATTTGGTTGCTTGTTTCTGGGCTTCACCAATATGCGACTCTAGGTCCTTCTGCGACCAGTAGGCATCTCTGTATAAGTTGGCCATGGTCCTGGAGAAAGATAATATAGACAGCAAAACTCAAAAGGAGAAAAAAAAACAAACTTGAAATCTTGGGCCTTTGGGGACAGAGGTTTGCATTTATGGATTCACCTCTGCTCGTACATACTCTGATTTTGCTGCTTGATCCAGCAGAATGAACACTCCAGAGTTTCTATGACTGTTTTAAAGATGGCCCTGAAGGATAAGGTAACCTTTTTATGTTCCTGACTTTTTTTAAACAGAACTGGCAGCCGCTTAAGGGATAAAATTGCCAGATGTGAACATATGTACATTTCTGAAGCACAAATTAGGCAGAAAATTATAATAAATTTTATTTGTTTGTTTTCTAGAACTATAAATCAGTTCACATCAGCTGCTATCTTGTGACTTGGTATCTAAGTCTTAATCTTACGGTATCACTATGCTTTATTTTAACAACATCCTCTATTTTATCAATCTTCCCTACATGGGACCATCAGATGTTGGGCAGTTGTAGGTCCTGTGAGCAGGCAATAACGCTGCCCAGGGGAACTCAGTCCTTTCCCAAACTGACCGGTTGCAGGGGTAAGTGTGTGCTGTCCTGCAGTTTTCTCTGCATGACCAGTTAGAAAGCAGAGCCAGTCTCAGAAGTTACTGGGAACAACAACAACTGGGACGTCAGTGGAGAGAGGACAAGAAGTGATGCAATGAGGATATCACAGTTACATCCACGATAACTACTTAGAAAACATTTTGACAAATGTAATTGTCATATACATATTTAACTGCTGCAAATGTGGAGTTGAAAAGCATGGTAAAGAATTGCTAATAAATCAGTGCATCAGATGAAGCTAATAGTTAATGGCCTGTTATTGAGAAACAGCTTGTTTTTATGATGTTTGAAGAAAATCTCCTGATTTCGTCTGCTTCCAGAAGCTCCTCTCTGCAGCAGGATCATCCTCAAAAGGCCTGGTCAAGCCTCCTGCATGAGCTGGCTTACCATGTGGTGCCGGAGAGCCCGCTGATGTATGTTACACAGTCCAGAAGATTTAATTTCTTGAGTCCCATGAGGCTGCCATATAGTCCTGTCATTGACTTCAGTCCTCCACCTGTCGTGATGATAGCCACAACAGGGACCTGTTGGGCAGAGGAGGGTGGGACATTCACACCAATGGCATTCAACATCGCACCCTGGACTGCAATGGGGTCTGGCCACCACACCCAGCCCAGGTCCTGATCTCACAGCCCGGGTCTTTTTTCAGAAGGAAAGGCTCCAAAACCAAGCAATGACTGCTATTGCTGCTTCTGTTCGGATAAGCATGAGTTCAGAGATTAACCCAAACCTTAGTTCTTGCCCATCTCTACGGCACATAGGGGCACAGATGAACAAGAAGAAACCCTTCTCTGGAGGTAACAATGTATTTTCTCTAAATTCCCCATGCCTTAGCCACTTTTTTTCTTATTTCATACATCTGCTACTACTGTATGAAAATCCACATGCCAACCCCACAAAGAAATACACTCAGTTCACAATCGGTGTTGTTAAGCTACCCTCATCAATGCTGTTATTCTTCAGTATCATGAAGTTACTTTAAAATAAATTATACTTATTTTAAGGAATTTCAAAACCTCAAGGAAGGGAAGACATTATAAGAAGCGTCTAGAGATGTTTATCCTAAACTCTCACAAAATGATGAAATTTGAACAAAGGAAGAAATCATTGCTATGCGATGTATTTAATATGCACACAGTATTTCTGAACCAAGCCAGTAATAGCATAGGTTGGCAAGGATGAACACACCTCAAATCTGACAAATTCCAAATTGACAGTCATGAAGGATGCATTTACTGCAACTAGTGTTTCTTGCAATAACAAACCTTGGCAGCAGGAGCAAACAAACGTACTTAAGACACGTGAACAAGCTGATACCTGCACAACTGATACATGTGGCCTATTTTGCTGACCACTCACTAGAAGAGTACATGGAGGCACTAGACATTCAAGATGTAGCTCTCACAACACAGACATACTTCACGATCGTGCAGATCCTGTTGTAGGTGAAAAACATTTTTCAGGGCACTTGCTACATATCTCTTCCTTTTCACCAGGAAAGCCGTCTCCTCTGAACACAGGTCAAACCCAAAGCGCATGTCCAGGTCTTGGTTGCATGAACAATTACTAAGATAAAAACAGGCACATATTTTAGATATTAACACACCTATATCAATCGTAGGACTTTGATCAAAGATAATCTACAGCACCCTTCCCTTCAAACAGAGTGATGCAATGTGACAAGAGCAAGAGAGAATATTCTAACTTTTCTTAAAAGTAAGAAAACTTATTTCAATTAGTAAGCTTAACCACTGGCATTATATCCTGTTATTACTAATTGATGAAGAAACAATACAGTATTTACAAACGAAACAAAATACTTAAATATTCTAAAACTAAAAGAATTACAAGTTTAGAAAATCTGTGCAAATGGTCAAAAGTCAGTGTACTGATTCCTATTTCATGGGATTTTTTTCTCCTTCTAAATCTAAAATAAAACTCAATTTTCAAATGTTGGCATTTCCAACGTGAAGGAAAATTCTCGTTTTGAGCAGCTTGAGTGGGAACGCATCCCCCTCTAGCGGTGAGCATCGCTGGGGAGGAAACCCATCCACCTGCCTGCCAGGCAGAGGTGGCAGTGGAACCCTGCTCGCTGGAAGGATGACTCCGGTGACATCCTGCCCTTGGATGGACGGAGATGGGTCACTGGGTTTAGTGGGGCAGGATTTCACCCTCGCTGCTCTGATCTGTCTGCACTTGCGCAAGCTGTCTCATGGGTCAATGCTGGCAGCTGTATTTCACGTCAACCTTGACTTAAAAGTCGTAAAGAATAACATTCGTCAGAGGAAGATTTCATGTGCAGCAATTTTGACATTTAAGTAATTCCTTAAAACTCTAATTTTCTAGCTTATTTCCCTGGGCATTTGTGCTCTTTGGCTCTCTAACCTCCCTCCTGTCTCTTTCTGCCCTGTGCCAACAAGACATCAATGGGCAGGAGATCTGGCATGGTGTCTTCAGGCCAGACCTACCCGTGGACCCCTTGGCTGGCCAGCTAGCCCTGACCAGGCACTGTAAAATGGCAGGGTTTTGCTTTTTCTTTCAGTGACAGAGCTTCTCTATTATACAGAGTCCATAATTTCAATGAAACCAGTAATGAAATTAATTTATGAGATTTCTCCACCAACAGATTTGGATAAAATCAGCCAAATTATTATAACTGTATTTGTAAATGAAGACACGCAAGAGGAATTGAGTTAGGTGGAGCTGCAAAAGCCAGTTTCCATTGTAAATCAAGATACAAACAAAGTGCTTTTAAAGTTCTCTGAAAACAAAATAAATAAGCAGGAAGCATTTTTCCTGTACTGGAATAATGCTGGTTTTCCTGTTGTCATTGATCACTTGTCTTTCTGAAATGAACGACAGAAAACTCTGTTTGAATTAGAAATTATTTTTTCCCTTTTATTTCTTAGTCAGGCACACACACAAAAAAGATCAGTTTGCACAGTTCTGTGTGTTACATATAGCTATGGATAACATGAAACATCTTCATGTCTACTGATGAGTATTGGTGATCATGTCTATAGATATCAAATCACTAGCCACATTGTCTACCTTAGTTTCTACTCAATATACAGTATAAATGCACTTAACGGAATACAAGCTTTATTGCTACTGAATATTGACAGTTAAGAAAAAAATAAATATGCGTAATTTCTGATCAAATTTAATGTTTACTTCTGTCTATTCTGTTTTTTTAGTCAGCCTTGTCCTTTTTGTGAATTTCAGAGACTGACATTGATCAAAAATAATATTCTGCGGTCAGAAGGGAAGGGATAATTCTAAAATACAGACACGATTATCAACATTTATTGATTAAAGCCAGATCTTCCTAAGGCTAATTATGTATAATATACTGTGCCTATGTTTTAATGAAAGCATGTTCTAGTTCTCAGACTGAGAATGCCTGCTTATGTCATTCCCATGTGGCTAAAACAATATCAAAATCAGTTACCCAAGTCTTTAGGAACAGAAGATCTCTTACCAGCTTTGTGCTCTCACATTCAAGTCAAATCTTTTCTCCTGGAAAACAAGAATGTAATTTTTTAATTTTCGTTTTAAAAATTTTCCCTTTCTGTCTTGGGATCAGAGCTTGATTTAGACCCCAGGAAGGTCTGGCAATCACAAAGTTAAATGTCTGAGATCTCGGCATATATTTCCAAACATACTCATTTATCCTTTCTGGAACATCCCTACCAACAGATCCCAAATGATTCCAGGCTGCAGAAGCCATTAACAATCTTGGTACAGGAGGTTCCTGAGACTCATGCAGTAGGTCCCATTTCCCTAGTTATTCACAAGCTTTCTGCAGCATCCTGAAATACCTTTTTTTTTTTTACATTTCCCGTTCTTTATGCTCTAATACACAGCAGATTTTTTACATCCTTGCCACAGTCTCACAGTGAAGAGACTGCAAGTCTCTAAACCACTCATTCATGACAGCAAGTCTGCATTTGCTTCTGCCAAGACTTCATCCTGTCTTAAAATTGTTATTGCAACCTTCATATTAACTGACAAAAAGTGCTCTGTTCTGAGAGGATGTTTTAATGGTCCTGAAATCTGATGTTCTCCTACTTCTTTACAACGTAACAACTAATATTTGGACAAGATTGCCCCTAATAATCTGGACATCTATAGATGTTTCTTAGCAGAAACACATTTTTTTATAGTAAGGATATTTTTCTTCTGTTAATTTCATTCAAAATTATACAGCATATACATCTATTTCAAGCAATATTCTCATTATATTTTTTAAAATCCATATGCTATGTCTACTATTTTCAATGTACTTTAACATATCGTCCTTTGAAGCACATGGTTTACTCAGGGCAGCTTTATTGACTTTTTCCTAGCTTGTGTACAAGAGGCAACTTTTAGTTTGGACCCTAAGCAAAGGAGGGGTCAAGTGAGTCTTTGGGTAAACAGGGAGAGATGTACTGAAGGAATCATCATATTTTGTTTACATCCTTGTTTGTCTCTATATCTAGCACTGGCATGTAATGGAGACTAATGGAGAGACAACCTGCATCTGTGGAGAAAACAGCTGGAAAAACAAAGCTCCTGTTTGTTCAAGCTCTGAGAAAAAATCAGAACATTTCTGACCCTTTCAGCAGCCATCTGGGACAATATTATGGGGAATGGTTCCTACTTGAGTGACCTTTTATTCCTAACAGTTGACTCACCTCTGCAATCGTCGTTTTCCTTCCCATGGGCAGCGAATTCAGCATCACGACTGGGGAGCCTGTCTCTGTGCTGTACTTACAGGTCCACTGGGAAAACAAAATGCTTTAGGACAAAAACAGTAATGGGTTTACCCTCTCCCCCTCCTCCCATTTTCTAGGGAGGCACTCATGGTCAGTTCATCATTAAGGCCACCTCCAACATACAGGGTGGTAGTGCCTCTTCTTTGGCAACATGACGTCCAGTGTTGGCTCTGTGTACTTGATATAGTGGAACTTGGTGGGACCCGATGGGCTGGCCACTCCGTTGGGGCCCAGCGTGATATCCTGTGTCCCCTCAAAGGAGCCTTTCACGGTGAGGGAAAGCTCTTTCTCTAAAAAAGCAGAGCAAAGGTCGTGAGAAATGTCACTATGATTTAACCAGAAAATTGTGCTGGATTGATTATAAGTGGGATGCAGGTAACAGAGCTGTAGAGTTTGGACCACAGCTTTGTCTAGCGGAAAGTGCTCTGAAGGGAGTCCTGGCAGCGAAGGGAGAGGAGCAAAGCGGATGTTATTTTCATAGAAAGGGGACTCTGAATGTTCTCACTGTTATATAGAACTGGGATTTCAACTTATTTGCAGTTCTAATAGAACTTATTTACATAAACCTAAGGGAGTATGAGATGCAGTCACTGAAGTCTATAACAACCTAATGTGTTTACCTGATGTTAACTGCACTGAATACTGTAAATACTATTTATTCCACTAATACATTATAGGAAAAGGGCGTCCTCTCATCAGTAAGCATGCAATTATTGGTAAATAGATAACAAAGCAATAACTTTACTTGATTTTTGCTGCATCTTCTCTGCCACTTCAACTTCCAAGCAGCAAAGTTCACGACACTGTAAAAGACAGCAAAAAGGAATCTGTGAGAAAGATCGTCACATCCCAACCCAGTTACAGGGAGCTGTGAATCACTCAGCTTTTGGACATCTCTAGTTCCCTGAAGTGCCTAATTCCCTGGCATTTCTGGGCTTTTTCCCAGGAGTCACTGACTGAGAAAAAGGAAAAGCTTTGGAGGGAGTTGTAGAGCATCCTCCAGTGACAATGACATACAATTGGGCATGGTAAGAGGAAGAGACAAAGGAAGAAAATCAGGACCATTTTCAGGACGTAGTAGAGATACAAAAGGTTAAACTGGGAAAAACGTACATGAAAGTTATATTGCTGAGAGATCAAGAGTCAGCACTAGAAAGGGTTTCCTGAAGAAGCATTACTATTAACATTTTTTTGGTTTTTTCGTTTGTTTTTTTTTTTTAATGGCACTCACTCATCTTTCACATAATTTAATTACGATAGGTCAATACTTAATGCTGAGCTCACCCACAGGCATGGTTCATCTCCCGGGGGAGGAAAAGGCTGTGTAGGTTATCAGCAAGTGGCTTCACAGTCTTTTTACCACGATGCTTTGATAGACAGCAGTATATTTTTTGAAGGAATACTGGTACCAGAGGAAAGCTCTGTGCGTGTGTGTGGTGTGTCAAAATATAGGACAAATGGGAAATAACGGGTTATCACCAATGAACAGGGCAATATAATATCCCATTGTCAAAGCATCTAAATAGGAAAGAGGAAAGAAAGAGAAAGAACTATCCTACTGGCTTCTCTAATCCCCACCTTCCCTCCTCCTTTGTATTAAGGAAAGACGTATAAAAAATTTCTTGGGAAAAAGATACATACCACCAGGACTCCATTGGTAGCAATGGCTTCATAAGGACCAGAACTAGGAAAAAAAAAAAAAGAAAAAACATGGATCTTTTTATATCAAACAAATGCTCACTCAGCCCTGCCCAGGGTGTTGACCTTTCTCCCCATTTAGAAGAATGATGAGCAGAGAGACCCCAGCAGGTATGTAACAAGCTCCTCTCCACGCTTGCTTGGACTGAGCACTGCTCTGAGGGGACTTGCCTCTGTACCAAAGTTGAGGGAGGTGTATCGTAGCTACTTTTTTGCAGTGCAATCTCATGATCATCTAAAACGGAATCTGCAGTTAGGCAGCCAAATTCTTCTCACTGTGAAGTACATTTATTTCAGCAGTAACATGCTAATATGCCAGCATATCCCTGCTGGGAAGCCCAGTTCTATGTCTTTGCTGGTATGCGAATACAATCAAAAGGGCACAGGGCAGTTGGTGTCAATTACATGGGGGGGAAAAAAGCTTTTGAGATCATTCAAGTCAAGTCAGGAGATGGTGTAGAGTGGCTTGAATTCTGGTTTTGGCTCCTCACTAGTTCAAGGGCTGACCTTAGGTTGGTCACTTTATTTCTGCTATGCCTTAGTTACCTTGTGACAACACAGAGACAAAACCACTGATTCATATGGATGGCAGGCTGGTCATGCTGGAGGAAGAGCCCTGCACTAGAGCTTCCAAGATATTGTCATTTTGTGGGGCAGAAAAAAAAAACCAGAATAACTAGGACCCAGACAGTGCTGCAAGGGAAAACCGAAGGTGTCAGAGATACACTGGAAACCTTATCAGGATGGTTCAATATTAGGAGTCTATCTAACGCATAAGCTGAAACAGACAAGGAAAGATTGATAGACGTGCATGCACACACAAGCACATGCACATACACTCAGAAAGTCTTCTGAAATGCCCCCAGGCAACCAAATCCAACACTGTGGATAGAAGAGACAATGCTGGGAGGTGTCCCTTTGAAAGCAACTAAACTACAGAACAAGGTGACTGGAGGGGTCAGCCGGGTGTCTGAGACTGCAGTAATGATGTAGGAGAAGTCTGGCACTTTTTTGCAGAAATCCCACAAATCATGACTTCTGATGTTCTTTCTTTGTTTTAGCATTTAATGATCTTTGCATTTTTTAAACAATCTGTATATCACTTACGCAGCCTCCAATTTGAATTCAACCTCTAGCTCCTCCTTGGCCTGAAAGCAAGAACAAGAAATTATATGAAGTAGCTATGTAATGCTTTCTCCCTTGTCTAAACCCAGGTCCCTGGTATGCAATACTGAAGTAATTGGTTGCAGTGCACAGCCTGTGATAAATATTTCAGACTGGAAGATCTGAAACAACATTTCAAACCAGATGGTTTATCAATTCCTTCCTTACCTCCTTCCTTCTTCAAGGTAGCATCAAAACAACCTGTACTTTTATCTTTTAGTGTGAAGATGCTGCAGAAAGACAATTTGCAACCTGCTTTGTCTTCTGATTGCTACCTTTTTCTCCCAACTATTCCTGGCACTGTCCTGCCACGACTTACTGTCCTTGCTATTAGCTTGGAAGTTAAAGATGCTTTCCACCCATCACTTTAACACAATAAACAGAGACTGCTATAATTGAGTGATTCAGAGTTACAGTTATGCAACCCCCTGTTGATAGTATGAGCCAGCTGTGAGTCACCTAGTTTGGGTACCAGAAGCAATCTGTCCGTAGTAGCAAGAAGTTGCATGCGAGATATTTCACTGATCTCATCCATAGATCTCAAAGGGAATCAAGACTCTTTTTCCCATTTTATAGATGGGAAACTGAGAAACAGAGTAAATCAGTCATTCAGAGCTCCAAAACCACACTAATTCTGATAGAGAAGTCAGCAGGCTCAGCCCTAGCTGAGGTATCACTGCAGAGGATAGTTCTGGGATACACACAGGGGCAACTTCAGCTTTGCCTTTGGGGTAAAAGTAGATACAGTCAAAGGGGCAGGGGACTATGAATTACGTGGGGAAAAAAATTACACCTTATTCACCCTGCAACAGCTGTGCAGCCTTGGTGTTGCTCAGAGATAGTTCACAGTCAGATTCCTCCCCTACCTACTGCACTGTTTCAGTCATATGCTCTTTAATAATTTATAAAAATACTGGGAGGAGTGAGCTCAGGCTGTCAAATCCAGATATTTTACCACATTTTTTGTGTTTATATTTTGAATGGCAATTGACGTACTCATTTTTGGGATAAGTCATCCATGGTGGATTTAGAAATCTCACCCCAAGACTTTGAAAGTTTTGTATAACCTTCCACTGGTTTCTTAGTTGCTTTATTTTTTGCTCTCACCTTTGGGCTGGGCTTAAAATACAGGATCACTGTCCTGTCAATTGGAAGTTTAGCAGTATCAAAGAGTGCACAGAGAAGATGGTCATCTGGAGTAGCAAAATCTTCATCATACACTGTCAGCTCCAGCACGTTCTGGAAAAAGGGGAGAAGGGATTTTTATAGTTTCTACAATCTGGACATCATTAGCTCTAGGGAAGAATGAGTGTTAGGGATGTGCTTGAGAAGCAAAGTGGGGAAATTAAGTGCCATCCTCCTTTGGAAAAACATACTGTACATTGAATACACATTCTTCCCTAGTTCAGTTTAATTGCCGTAACATGAGTAATACATTGGTTATACCTACATGACAGCTTAGTTAACTCCCAGATTCTGTATCCATCTTGCACTGATTAATATGAGTCTCTAGTTTCCCTAAAACTTCAATACCAAGCTCAGTTTCTGGCCCCCCTAAACACCACCATCAAACAGGCACAGGAATTCAGTCATCTCTGCTGTTAGACAATTTGAACAGTCCCTTATCATGTGCCATCTCAAACAGTTGCTGGGCACAATTCAGGAGACAGATAGGACCCACCACACACAGAATCTTCAGGCTGCTTCAAGCATAGAACTGTGGCTCATTACCTTGACCTGACTCTGGATCCTGAAATAGAAGGTTTCGTTCCACACCGGATTGTTGGAGTTTCTCACAGTTTTAGTGCGGGACTTTTCACATGTCGCAGTCGGCAGCCACAACGACACGTAGCAATCAGCCTGGGTTACTGGAAAGAGGCAGAACAACTGTTAATGTGGCAAAGTCAGTGATGCTGCGTGACACTGGAAAGGTTACTGTGTGGTATCAACAGCAAGTATGAGACTTAAAGACAGAAACACCTGTTGTAGTGTAACTCTTTTCAAGATATCCGAGAGGGAAAAACCACAGACCATAAGATGACCTAGAACAGGAGGTGGTTTCTATTCTTCCTTGCATGAGTTACAGACAACAGTAATGTTGTGTGTAAAAGAAGAGGGTGAGAATTTCCTCTTCTAGTCAGCCACTTTCTTCAGTTTCTCAACCAACAAGCTTTCCTGTGCCCATGTGTGCATGCACACACTAACCCCCAGCTGCCGCCTGAGGTCTGGGAGCCTCCTCCACCTTTTGACAACAACTGCAAAAGGTCTTCAACTCTGCCTTGCATTCAGTCATTTTCTTGGTGAGGGTTTGTGAAAGCAGCTGCTGAACTACCCCTGTTGTAGGAGATGGCAGAGGCTTCCTCCAGAAGGAACTAATTGAATTAGACGTTGGATCTTAACTAATTGCCACCTCCAGGAAGAGAGGGACCAAATCTGTCTCCAGAAATGCACCAGGAGAAGGTTAGTGAAGGATATTCCATCCCATTTCTCAAAAGCACCTGAATTAAGGTATATCTTAAATGCCTACAGCCAAAAATGTGATGTACTGTGTGCTGGGGGAATGTAACATTTCTTCATGCAGGTTATGCAAAATACTTCAGCACCTTTGAAACTCTCTCTATAACAATAAAATTATCAGATATTATGTAATGCAAAAGGTAGCTAATTTTGAGAATGGATGTCCTTTGATATGAGACTTTTGAGAGAGACAAGTAACGGCAGCAGTAAATGGAGAGGACCCATCAGCAGCAGGTAAGGACTCTGCAGGTAGATCAGGGGAACAAGAGCTTGCACATTGACTTGTGGGGAAAGCCAAAAACTCGCCTGACTGCAACAGGAACTTTTTCTTGTCTTCTTCTCTTTCCTTCTCCACCAGGTTTTGCCAGGTGTCACCCTACAGCCATTGGCTCTGTCTCAAACTGGGTGGAGGCCGCATTTCATGTTGTTGGAAGCGTATTTGTCCAAAAAAAAACCTTGCTGCTTTTCTGTCCAATTCAGAATGAAGAACTGAAATTCAGAACTGCTTGAGAAATTGCATAATGCACTGTGATATGTCAACTGGCACCTTAATTATTGGTTTTCTACTCTCCAACATTATAACGAAGAAAAGAAAAAACATTTTTAATTCTGTCAAATTTTTCCTAAAAAAATTGTGGCAAAATCAACACAATTGAGTCAAAAAATCAATATTCCTCTGATGGAAAAATTTGTCTGGAAAATATTCAGCAGGCCCTAGCCCTCTCCCTCTCATGCTCTTTTCCACCTTCCATATCTTATTTTGGATTTAAAAAAAAAAAAATTTAGGTTCTAACAGCCATTTAACTGTCCTTGTCTGGAGTCATATCTTCTGCTCTAATTCACTTCTACCTTCTCACTACTCTTATCTCTTAGCCTCCTTCCCTGTACTTTCTTCCTGACTGTATTAGCTGAGAGGGCATTTCACCTCCACCATTCAGGTTTCCTCCTTTCCTTTCCTTAAGGAACAAAATCCCAAAGGGAAGGAAAAGGGCTGCTACGTGCTGCCTTCCCACCCTGTGTTCAAGCCCACAGGTGGAAACAACAGAAATTATCCCAGTAGCATCTCTTGCCCTCACACAAATGGCATAAGAGACTTTGCAGACTGGTGACTCTGAGAATCATGATTCCCAGGGATGTCTTTTCACTTTGGATATTTTGGTTGCCTCCTGCTCTCCTTACACCTATCCCCACTTTGCATTAAGGTCTGGGAGACATATCCAGGTCTTTACCATTCCTCTGGATACAGATAAACAATAAGCAGCTTCAAAAGCCCTGCAATTTAAGAAGGATGTGAAGGTCCTTGAATGCATCCAGGGGAGGGCAGCAAAGCTGGTGAAGGGCTGGCAGGCAGGGCCTGTGAGGAGCAGCTGAGGACTTTGGGCTTGCCCAGCTTGGAGAAAAGGAGGCCGAGGGGTGACCTCATTGCTCTCTGCAGCTTCCTGAGGAGGAGACGTGGAGAGGGAGATGCTGAGCTCTTCTCCCTGGGATCCAGTGATCGGACACATGGGAATGGTTCAAAGCTGCACCAGGGGAGGTTTAGACTGGACATTAGGAAGCATTTCTGTACCGAGCGGGTGGTCAAACACTGGAACAGGCTTCCTAGAGAGGTGGTCGATGCCCCAAGCCTGTCAGTGTTCAAGAGACATTTGGATAACACCCTTAATAACATGCTTTAACTTGGTCAGCCCTGAATCAGTCAGGCAATTGGACTAGATGATCATTGTAGGTCCCTTCCAACTGAAACAGTCTGGTCTATTCTATTCTATTAATAAACAATGCAGAAACACTGTAGTGCACAGATGATGCATGTTGCAGCAGGCTGCCAGGAGACCGACTGCTAACATTGAAAACATTGGCTACTCATACTAATTGTCACCCCGGTAAGGGTAGGTCTAGTCAGTCTGGCTGCCTTACACATGTTGCCTTGCTTAGGCACATCAGTATCTCTCTGAAGGAGGAACAAAATATCTCATCTTCACCTTTTCCTTGCAAAGGAGGTTGCTTGTCTTTATTGCATTTATAGACAGAATTGATTTAAGAACTAGATTTAAGGCTGCCCTCCTGTCTTAAGACACCACTTTTAATTGCCTACTACTTGTCAAATTCCAGCATTCAGTCTATATGTTCCCAGGAAACATGTCTGTCTTGGACTGGGCATTTCAGGAAAGTCTCATCTGGAAGAGTTTAGCTTTTTTCCAAGGATGAGACAGAAGAAAAAGCATTAGGCCTTTTCATGTGAAAAAAGAAATTCTTAATCATTTCACTACCAGCTAATAGCCCTTCTACACCTTCCTCCAGAGTAGAAGAAACAAGGCGATTCTAGAGCATTACTGCACCTGATCCACACTCCATCATTCAGGCAACACCAGAGTACAGGTTTGCATTGGGAATACCATGTTTAATAACCTTTGCTAGACTTATGCTCCATTAATAACTTCTTTCTGAACAGACATATTTTAACATCCATACATTCCCATGACAATGAGTCCACAGTTTACTTGTATATTCCTTTTATTCATTTTAAACTTCCTGTTTGATAATATTACTGGGTGCTCCTTTATTCTCACATTGTGAAAAATAGTGAAAAATGACGCCTTATTCACCTTCTCCCTCCTATTCCTTTTTGTAGAGACAGTTTCCATGTCCTCCTCAACAGTTTCCCTTCCACTCTTAAGGCCTGTAGCCTATTTAGTCCCTCTGGATGAAAAAGTTGATTCAGATCTGTCATCACAGTTGGTGCCTTTCTACAACTTCTTTTGTCACTCTGTTTCCTCAAGTGTCAGAGGCTTTTGCAGTGGACCTAACGAATATATCTCCCTGAGAGAACTGTATGAGCATCAATTTGATTCTGTATGACTGTTTCTTATTTTCCCTTTTTTTTTTTTTTTTATCTGGGAAATTCTATGCAGATAGTAATGCTTTGAAGAATTTTGAAACTGCAAAAATAGATATTCGAATGTGTTTGGAGATTCTAGAAATAATGATACTGATTTTAAAGCGTTTTAAAAGTAATTCTGTATGACTACTGCATGACTTTAGGTTTATCATTGGAGATCAATGACTGTTGGCTGTTTGTCTGGTAAAGTACTCTGTTCTACTGATGTGATTCGTCATTCTTGTATCTTAACTGTACTTTGACATACAAAGCATATCAAACAATCCTTAATTATATGAGTAGATGCATGCAAACTAGTCAGCTGTGTATTTAATGCTAAATATTGCTTCAGTTCTGCTTGCACAATCTCTTTCTACAACCCAGTTATTTGTGATTTGGTCTTGCCACCTGACATGCAGAAGATCTGAGATGAGTCCTTGATGAAACCTTTCTGTGTTATTGCATCATCGCATGTGTGCTACAGCTATGGACCAGGAGGGAGTTGCAGGTGCAGAAGGTGTGACCCAACGATATGACCTGAGATACAGCTAGTACATCCCTCACTCAGAGCTGTGACACAGCGAAGTCCTCTGATATACCTTCCAGAAAAACATGTGACAACCACAGGGTAAGATGGGAATGGTACTGCATGGTGAAGCCAGATCTTCGTCTTTCAGAACATCTTCCCTGGCCCTTCCTATGCAAGAGACCATAGTGCCAATTGCTACCACTCACAGTGAAAAGAGAATTAAGAGACAGGGCAGGGTTACAGCATTTCCTTTCCACACTCACCCTAGAGCTAGTTTCAGCATCCTTTCACAGGTAGTCATGTAACTGTATTGATTCAAACAAAACGAACTGATAACTTACCTATTTTGTGTGAAATGCCTCTCCTCACTGCACATGTGGGTAGCCTGTGTCCTTTAGCTAAACAGTGGCATTTTTCCTTCCTGCTCACTCACTTCCCACCAATTTCCTGCTCTGTGAGTCACATTCTTGCACAACTGCAAGACTGCTGCATGAGTGTTCCAAGGGACAAGGCAACCAGTTCTCAGTCAGCATGTTTTTTGACAGTCATTTCAGGGTAATTAATAATGGCATTGGCCTGGTGGTAATGATTTTAGAAAGTTTTTTCTTGTTCATTTCATCTGTGTCAGAACAAAGATGGGGGGCTGTGTAAAAGTTTGCTCCTTCCAGCCACAGTTCCCAAGGTGCTACAACCCAATGGCAAAATTACCCTTTCCTTTTGAAAACACGGGTTACAGTCGTTTTCATTTACCTGTGTCAGAAACTATCCTTTCTTTGGGAGAAAGTACTTATCCCCAAAACACATTCAAATCTTAAAACCAACCTGAAAGCACAGGAATAACATTCAATGAAAGAGCAGCAAGCAGCAAGGACTGACTTGGTTTATAACAACTAGTTTACGTAAACACTGGGTTATTTCAGAAACACTTGGAAAATGTTGCTATACAATTATGAAAGAAACCTTGTTGCTTGTACCCTGAGATACCACTAAGAAAGGAGATACTTACAGGTGTCCACTCGCTGGAGATTTCTCATCCGGATGATCCTTACAGTCAGCAGGTAGCAGGGAGAGGATTCTATCTGGAGAAGAACAGTACAAAACCAACTATGAATAAGCCTTCAGTGGGGAAAAAGTATCAACTGTGCAAACTAACTGAGTGCTACAAAACAATAATGCAGTCGGTAAAAATTGTGTCAACCATCTCACTATTCTGCAGATGAAAATCTGCAACATAAGCTTCTGCTATCAAAGAAGTCTTGTTTTAACCTTTTATGCATTTCACTGTCTTTTTGCTGTGTTACTCTGACAGTATGGATTGCTCATCACAGCATAAAAGAAAGAGATAAATCGCTGTCAACTGATACTCTCTGTGAGACACTTGCAAAACCTCTTTGTGCTGAAATTGCAGAGTTTAGCTCTACAGCATAGCTACGATAAGTCTCTTGAACACAGTAAGTGCACTGGTGAGCACAGTGGTGAAGTTGTCAAAATACCAGCAGTCTTACTCAAAGTTAGAGTCAATCCCCTTAGTAACCACACATGACGTCCCATGGCATTGAAAAGAGAGCTGTGAAGAACATCTGTTGTCATTGACTCTCACAGGATAAACCTGAAGTACTGTTCTCAGAGAGATGTTTTTTGCCTTTTGCTTCAAAAACATAGATTTCTCTTTTTTCCTTTTACAGTTGTATGGGAAAAACAGTAACAATAATCTGAGCTTTTGTAAATCACAACTATGAGATAAACCAATGGCTAAGAATTGTTTCCAGAGGATTTAGGGGGTAAGGAATTAGGTACCGGTTGCCTTTGGGGAAAAATACAGAAAAATACCCCCCTCCAAAAAAACCTTAAGATTGAAAGTGATTAACTTCCTTTGGTCCCTTTGCATGTCTCGGCCATAACCTTGTATAAAACAAGTCTCTCCAGCTTTTGTGACTGAAGTGACCTCTTCCTATTTATTATTAGAGGATAATGTGATTTCCTTCTTCTAAGGAAGGCGATTTCCTGCTGGCTCATTCCATAAATCTCTCTCTGGCTCAGTCCTATCTGCAAAAGGCTACTCTGGTGAAGCCAATAAATAAATCAGCATTTCCTGTGGCTGTGACAGACGGTCATTTCCTCTCACTCCTAGAAACATTTCCACCTGCAGAAGTGGTTACAGCAAAGCCCTCCAAATAATCCTTTTCGACAACTGCTATTTTTATCAACCGATTTCCTCTCATTTATGAGCATCCTTCTATTTCTATAGCACTTTGGAGACTTCCTAGAATGACTATAAACAAACAGACAAAATAGATGTTAAGGCAGATAAAGAGAAGCTGGAAGAACCTCACTTAGAACAATAGGTATGCTGTTGCCAATTTTTTTTTTTTTTTTTTTTTTTTTTTTTTAAGAGAAGAGAGCATGAAGGACCTTATCTTCAGATGGGAAGACAAGTAGGCTTCCTTTGTCACTACAAGTTACTTTTTCAATGTGTGTTTAAAATGTGTGCCCTCTTCTCTCTCTTAACACATCATGTTATGTTAAAATGTTTTTGCTGAGATCTTAAAAAGGGTTCCTGCTTTCACTCCTCCTGTATGTGCCTTAAGAATTCTTTGCTTTCTTCCTTTTTTAGTACTTCTTCATGAAATTCACTCTCAGCAATTCATCCACATTCTATTTCAAGTGTTCTCAAAGGAGAAAAAGCCTAACAGAAGCTGCAAAATTTGCAATGACTGATGGAGGGGTATGTCCTCAGAGCTACCCCATGCAAGGACACTGGTTCACTTTTCAGAAACAGTATAGCCATGTTAATACAGTTCTCCACCTAGTTAATTAACCCTTCTTCTCAGCTGGGTAATTAGCAAAGGTGGATCACCACACTCACATGTTAGGAATGAGCTTGGGCACCTCAGCATGTGCCCTAGAAGACAGAAACTCACTGTTTGGTAGGGTCTGCTTAAGCATGGGGCAATTCTTGCAGCCATTTATCTCCAGAGATTGCGCAAGGTGCTGCCAGCTCCTGGATCAGCTCCAGCTACGCTTCCTCAGGCACATGGCATTACTTCAGTGAGAACCGATGGATTCAATATTTGCAAAGCAGTTTCAGATTCTTAGATAGGAGACATTAAGGAAGTGCGGTGGTTCATTTTGGTTTTTTTTAATGATTATTACCCAGTTTCTGCCATCTGATCACCTGTCTCTTGCTTCCCATGTAATGACTTTGTAATGTGTTAGCCAAATTTCCCCACCTGGCATGGAGAAATCAATTCTCAGAGATTCAGCTTTCACAAAAAGACTTACTGAAGTTTCAGAAAAAAAAAAAACCAACAAATCAGTGGCTTCACAGAAACCACAGAAATCAGGACCTGTGCTTGCAGTGGGGGAGAGGCAGATGCTGGCAGTCAGTTACCGGAGGAAGAGGCAGCAGCCAGGCATCAGTCATCCCAGCAGCCCTGGCACCTGCCAGTGGGGGTAGCGAAGACAACCAGGAGAGCAGAAATCACCTGATGATCAGGCCTCGCTAGTTCTACTGTTCCCAGGAGGATTTGCTATTTTAATTAATTCCAGTAACAGACTAAACAAAAGAAATGTATTTAAATAGCAACAGTGACAAACATAACATGATGTACTAGGGTCTGGTTATACAAACAAAGAAAATAGCAGCTATGCGTGCATAAAGCAAAGGATAGAAGTTCTGTTATTCTGTTTATGTGAAACCTATTATGATCTCTTTAACAAAATAAAGGCTGCTGCTATGGCATGATGTTCCACATATGAAGAGGTTTCCACCACAGCCTTGAGTAGTGGAATACCCCAAGTAGCGTCCTGCCCTGGTGCTAAAAAAGACATACTACAACCACCATTTAGTGCTGGCACATTGTAGCTTTGCTTTTGATAAAATCAAGGCTGATGCAGTCACTCTGTGACTGTTTCACTGATTGTCAGTCTATCAGCTTGTCTTCAGTTCGCTGCCTCCCCAATTGTGCTCATGTGTGCTTCATGTACATGTGTATAGCACCGCTGCATGTAATCTAGCACGCTGCGATGCCAGTGAACGCGCAGGGTGTACACTGCTAGTTTCTCTGTACTCCCAGGGAAATGAAGTTTTACTGGGATTTTCCAAACAACAGCTCCATCAAGAGACCTCATAGTCTCTTCTTCCAATTTTCCACCACTTCCACTAAAAAAAGAATAATACGGTATGATACTTGGCATCAGTTTTCTACGTTGGTAGAAGTAAAGGATTCCTCTGTCAAGTGAATGATTCCAACTTTCTCGCACCCAGGTGAGTAAAAATTTGAAAACAGAAATTTCTCTGTCGTGAGTGCTCTGGTGACGCAGGCTGTCTGCATTCCTGGCAGATTTGTGCCTTTGTAGGTCTACCCCAACTCTCTTTAAAGTCATGCTTATTTTCAGATGTAGGTATGTGTGGTATGCATTCACCTCAAGAAGCACTGCTGTAAATTACTCCACTAGTTTAGCTGTATAATACATCCTGCCACATCACGAGTGGCTGTGGAGCTCCAAAATGACAATACTACTTAATGAGACAAGAGTCCATGAAACCAGAGGGTAGCTATTCTTCTTCACCTTTTTTATGTGCTTTTCTCTCAGTACCTTTCTTCAGCCTCTAGGCTTCTTTGTCTAAGAGACTCTTCCAGCATGGGCTATTGCTAGCAGCATCTTCCCAGCTTGCGATATCAATGGTATGGACATTCACCACTCCACCATGCCTACTGTAGACTACTCCAGTCTCGCAGTTCCGCAACAGTACAGTCAAATGTATGTTGTATCAATGCATATCTTGGTTTTCAGTGTTAGCTCCTTGTTTTACCATAGATGTTCAATGAGATAGCAGAATATTGTAGGCTGCCTTCCCAAAACAGGGACCAGACATGCAACACTGATCTAGAGAGGAGAATTTACTCTTGAAATTCCAGGGGCAGCCAACACATTCTTAGTCTCAATTGTTGCCTTTTTTAGAATGATATTTATTCCAAAGCTATCATAAAGTAACAGAAAAATAATGCAGAGATCCTGAAATTCATCTTCAGTGTGTGTGATAAAAACTATATCGTCACCAGAAAGCAGCTGTCCTTCAAGCAGGTGCTCAGCTGTTCCTTTTCTACATGAAATGTGGAATGCCTTCCATCTAGTCTCGTGAGGAGGTAGCCTTTGTCATACTGGATGAAAAATTGTTATGAGGAAGCAGAGAAAATTATGTGCCACAGTATGTTGGTGCCGTTACCAGCAACCGCACTGCATGCTATTCCACAGCCATCCTGCAAATATGAGATTTAAAAATACCTTGAAGAAAATAAATTTACTTTTTCAACAGTTGAAAAAGGCTATTTCTGCAGACCAACCTGTAAAAATTTGCATTATCTATGAAAACCATGAAAAGAGCTTCCTCTCCACCCACACATTTTTCTTGCAGTCACCCAATAATAATGCCTCTCTCCATATCTATGTCATCTACTGGCACAGCAGCCTTTCTTGGCAAAGATAGCTTCCCTGCCTTGACTAAGGTCCCCCTGCATTCCTGGCCTGGAGAAGCATTCTGCTGAGATGAAATCACTCACAGGATGTCACCCGGGCACTCCTTTCTTCAACTCCAGGTGCTAATTTAACTAGATGGTAGCCAGGCGCTAAATCAAAAGAACTAACATACTTTGCTGCTGACGGTGTATCTAGAGCTGGTGGTGTGTGAAGAAGCACCTATCTTAAGATGTCTAAGTCAGGTCTCCTTAGAGAACGTGCATCCTCAAGTTGTTTTTACAGTTGTAATTGGGATGCTTCAGGCTGTGAACATCGCTCAGCCAAGCCCTGCCCCAGCCTGGTGGCCCCTATCTCCCACTGCTGTGGGACGTGCCAGGGGACCCACTGTGGCACGCTGCCTGGGCTGAGCGCCGTTGGCTGCTGCGTTTGGCCATATCTCTGAAGCTCTTCCTCGTTCTTGACAAACTCGGGCTCCACCCCAGAAAAGCAGCCGCTCTAATTGCTTCCTTCCTTCGCCTCCTCCAGGCGCTGGGTCTGCGGCATCTCCACCCATGGCTGTGGGGCTGCACGGGGGCTGGGGGGGTGC